ATTCCTATTTTAGCTTGTGTTCCTTTCCTCTTGCGGTTAATATTATTGGTGTTAAACTGATTGTCACAATTAAGTTTTTGCTTCAGTCTTCATCAAAAAATAAGTATTAAACTTCTCAGCCTTCCTGGTGTTGTGTGTTATTAACTCTCCTTCTCTTGTAAGTTGCGGACCTATGCTTTCCTTTGTCGTTTTCTTAATCTTAACCGTTAGCCTTTGTATCCCTTGCTAGGTGTAAATAATTCTGTGGGTCAGCTTTTCTCATTTTGACCCTACATGTTTGTGCTATTCTTCCGTACTTATCCTTAGCAATTTATACATACTTCTTATTTTTAGGATTCCCTTGTATTTTCAGGCCATCTCCTGATGCACCATATTCACTTCTTATTGATCTTCCAATGTCTCTTTCTTGTTGGAGGTTACCTTGCTGTTGTGTCTTTAATAATGTCTCTTTGAGAAACTGCCAGCTCTGGTAGTGCTGAGCCTCTTACCCCTGCCAACCCCCATCCCCAGTTGAGGCCAGGAGCAAAGCCCTGACAGGCAGGGCTCAAACTTGGACCCCAGAATTTGGGGCTGGCAGCAGAGCTTCTGCCGTGCACTGCAGCAGCTGGAAACCTGGCACATGAGGCCAGCAGCAAAGCCTCAGCTTTTCTTTCCATGGGACCTTATGTCCCAGTTCTCTGAGTTTTTCTATTTTTATAGTCCTTCGCCCTTATTCTGTTACCTTCCTTTCTTTCCTTAGAATCATGAATCCTATCATTTTATTTCATGATCACGTTCACCCACACTGTCATCAACTTGCATATTCACAATTAATTTCTCCCAGTTAGTCAGAATCACATTTCCAATGACTGTCTCCTCTAGTTACCTCCTCCACCTTCAGAAACAGGAAACTGTCCCCAGCACATTCCAAGAACATATGAGATATTTTGCATAATGGTGACACAAATATTAAACATCAGTGAAGAGGAAGTAAAGAATCAGATTGCATCCATGACGGCATGTAATTGCCCAAACTGGAATTTGACCAGAACACCAGACAGACGGCCCTTTTATTTAAGAAATGACCATTAGTTAGGATTTCAGATTTATAACAATGACAACTTCAGTAGTACATGACCCCTAACATCATGTTGTAATATTGCTTCAAAACTAACCCAAAGGGGGAAATGCTTGATGCTTTAAATAGAATGGTCCTTTCAACAGACACAGACTAAGTTTGTGTCATTACTTATTTCTCATAGAGGTAATCTAGACCAATGTTTTTCAACCAGTGATACGAGTACCCTTAGTGGTACTTGAGAGAAGTCTGGGGGGTATGTCAACACAACTGAAATTTGGCGAAAACTGAATTTTTGTTTTAAGTTTTACAGCGTTTTATTATTTTTGTACTTTTTACCCCCCAAAATTTCATCCCCCGCCGAGCTACGATTAAGTTGTTTAAACAAATGTGTTGCAATGGTAGAAACATTTTTTGTGTGTCTGAAAACTGTAGGTACTGGGGGTACTTATAATTTTTTTTTTAAAAAAAGGGGTACTTTTTAAAAAAGGTTGAGAAACACTGATCTAGATCACTTCTTTCATATCTTACTAAGACTAGAAATAACTGATCTGAAGGCTAAAAGTACAGAACAGTCTTCTACTCTTCTTATTTGCAAAACATTGGATAAGAAGAAACTAGAGCCGTGGTCCCCAACACGGTGCCCGCGGGCGCCATGGCACCCGCAGGGGCATTTGTCTGCGCCCGCCAAGTGCTCAGGGCTGGCCTGGCCCCGGGCACGTGGCACATGCGCGGTGCCGGAGCCGGCCCCGGGCACGTGGTACATGCGCGGTGCCGGAGCCGGCCCCGGGCG